CGCAGGTGGATCTCTCACTCTTTCTGACTACCTGTCAGCCTCTGCCTTGTTGGTGAGATTTGACACACTGCGTTTTTGATCTTTCAAAAGCAATCTGACTTTGAAAGTGAGAAGAGAGAAAGAAGGAAAGGCAGATCATGTGCATTGGGAGATGCAATGTTGTTAGCAGTTCTCCCCAAGGAGACAGGCCATGTGTTCTAGTAATCCTAACGATATCTGTCTTGATGATGTTCATACACACCCTTTGTCAGTTTAAAACCCTTGCCCCTTGTCCTGTCACTACAGGCCTTGGTAAAAAAGTCTCTTGTCATCTTTTCTATAGGCCACCTTTATATATTGAAAGGCTGCACTAAAGTCTCCCAGGAGCCTTCTCTTCTCCAGGCTGAACAACCCAAATTCTCTCAGCCTTTCTTCACTGTAGAGGTGTTCCAGAACTTGGAACATTTCTGTGGCCTCCTCTGGGCCTCATCTAACAGAACCATGTCTTTCTTGCACTGGGGACTCTAGAGCTGGACACAGCACTGCAGGTGGTGTCTCACCAATGCAGAGTAGAGGGGGAGAATCACCTCCCTCGACCTGCTGGCCACACTGCTTTTGATGCAGCCCTGGATATGATGGGCTTTCTGAGCTGCAAGCACATGTTTCTGTCTCATGTCCTTAACTCACCAGTATCCCCAAGTCCTTTTCTGCAGTGCTGCTCTCAAGCCATCAATTCCTCAGTCTGTTCTGTCAGTGGGGATTGCTCCAACCCATGTGCAGGATCTTGCACTTGACCTTGCTGAAATTCATGATCTTTGCATGGGCCCACTCCTCCAGCCCGTCCAGGTCCCTCTGGATGGCACATCCCTTCCCTCAAGTGTATTGACTGCACCACTCAGCTTGTGTCATCCACAAACTTGCTGAGGGTGCACTCATCCCACTGACCGTGTCACTGATGAAGATATTAAATAGAATGGACCCTTGAGGGACAGTGCTTATCACTGGTTTCCACTTGGACATTTAGCCATTGACTATAACTTTTTGGATGTGGCCACCCAGCCAGTTCTTTATCCATCTAACAATCCATCCATCAAACCCATTTCTCTCCAGTTTAGTGGCAATAATGTAGTGGGGGACTGTAAACACAGGGTACCTTATGCCCCATCATCCAGATAATTGATGAAGACACTGAACAGAACTGGACTCATTACTGACCCACTTGGATACACCACTAGTTATTGGCCTCCAAATGGGCTTTGTGCCATGATCACTACCCTTTGGTCTTAATCATTCAGCCATTTTTCAATCACCTTAGTGTCTGCTCATCCAGTCCATCCTTTATCAGCTTCTCCCTGAGAATCTTTTAGGAGACAATGTTGAAGGCCTTTCTGAAGCCAAGGTAGACAATATCAACTGCTCTTCCACTATCTACCAAGTCAGTCTTTTCATTGTAGAAGGTTATCAAGTTGGTCAAGAATTATTTCCCCTTGGGAATCCATGCTGACTATATTGTGTTTTTACATTCCTCCCAGGTTACCTGTCCCTGGTCCCACCTTCTGTATACTCCCTTTTTATGTCTGAGTTTTGCTAGGAGCTCTCTGTTCATTGATGCATCCTTCTGGCATTTTTGTCAGACCTTCTACTTGTTGGGATGAACCCCTCTTGAGCTTGGAGGAAGGGATCCTTGCATATTAACCAGCTTTCTTGGGCCCCTCTTCCCTCCAGGGCTTTAGTCCATGGGACTGTTTCAAGCAGACCCCTAAAGAGGCCGAAGTCTCCTTGCCTGACATCCAGGTCTGTTTTTGCCCCTGCTCCTTCCTCGCAGGATCCTGAGCTCCACTATCTCATAGTTCCTGCAGCCAAGGCCCAGAGCCCTTCCCTGTTTGTGAGTATAAACTCCATCAGAGCACTTCTCCTCATTGGCATCTTGGTCATTTGTATCAGGCAGTTATTAACGATGCCATCCAGGAACCTCCTGGATTGCTTATGCCCTGCTGTGTGGTTCCTCCAACAGATCTAGGAGTGGTAAAGTCCCCTGTGAGGACCAGGGACTGCAAATTTGAGGCTGCTCCTATCTGTCATCCACTTGTTCTTCCTGGTCAGGTGGCCAATAGCAGATACCACTACCTGTTCTCTCTTTAATCCTGACCCATAAGCTCTCAGCTGGCTCATCACCCATCCCCAGGCAGAGCTCCAGGCACTCCAGCTGCTCCCTCGTATCAAGTGCAACTCCCCCTCCTTGTCTTCCCATCCTGTCCTTCCTAAATGGCCTGTATCCCTCCATCACAACACTCCAATTGTGAGTGATCTCACCATGTGTCCATGATCTCAACAAGATCATAACTGTAGAAATGCATATTTCTGATTCCTCAAGCTTACACCCTATGCTGCTTGCGTTAGTGTACATAAATGCTCAAAACCATGATCTATTTGTCATAATGGGCACTGGTTTGAACAACTCCTCTGAAAGTTTCTTCAATGTTAATCAAGAAACAGCAGAATTAACATCAGGTACCTTATCACTAAAGGTGGATAAAAGGAAATCAAAATAGTGGGTGACCAGTTCACAACTTTGAACTATGTTGACATTTGTGTGGGAAACATGGTAGACTGGTGCAACATTTTGTGGGAAGTAGAGCTCTGAGGAAGCTGAAAGCTTGGTTTAGGGAAGGATTTGGTGATTATTCTCCACGCAAGTCTGTATTTGTGCAGAGTGTTTTGCGGAGAAATCACTCCATAACTTTTGGGGTTATAAAGTGGGTATGTTTATTCAGCGCTGGGCGTATGGGGGATCGCTCCACCACAAGCATGCGCACCGTCTGCAGCTCTCGTCCGGCTTATATGTTACAAAATAGTGCATATTCATAAAACACCTATACATATACATAGTCTACCCCCGCCTCCCCTCGCTTCTCATGGTAATCAGGTCTCCTCTTCTTCTTCGCTGATGAACTTTTCTCCTTATCGCTCTGCGCAGCCTCAGTTGTTCTCTGGCTTTCTTCCAGTCCAATGTTTTGGGGTTGTCTGTTTTTCAGAGACTAGGAGGGACTTCTCTTTGGGCTAGGAGTTAATCGCCTAGCAACGTTATCAGTACTTGGTATGTCTTTTTCGAACAGTCCCATACACCTCCCCTTGTTTTTGCGCAGGCCTTGCACCATCAATCTAAGATTGTTTAGACTCCCTGTCTCATTCCCCCCTTTTCTTCTTACTTAGTAAATTCTTTTACTACTTATTTATCTACTTCTTAATCTATTTCCCTTGCCCTATAATATGTTAGTACTATCCTACAAATTAGTTAGTTTATTGCTTAAAGCTCAGATTGTGATATAAAGCATCATACATAGTTTGCAAGCGTTTTGTAAGTCTCCAGATTCATACATATATAGCTACAGTAAGGACTAACAAGATTGCTACAGATATTAATAAAGCAACCACTGGGTGTAGGGCTGTGTTTAAGATTCCAGTAGTTGTCGGCGACCATCCGAAGAGTGTATCCCACCAATTATGTTTCCCTTCCTGCTCAACCATCTTTAAGACCTTTTTTATCCTTTCCCCATCATGAAAGATTGTGAGCAAAGTTTCTTGCCCTTTTTCCTTAACTTCTTCCAGTATCCGGTGTAAGTCTGGGTGTTTTAATAGGCTTTCTATATGACTGACATTTAAGCCTATGGGGACAGGAAGTACCTTTACCATGAGGCTGCTTTTCAAGAGGGGATGTGTAACCACTGGGGCAGAATAAGTGAAATCGCACCCCAGGATGATGGTGAAATTACAAATACAATAATTTAGATGCTGTATCAATTTCTTCTCTTGCCCATCTATGATTATTGTGTCACACAGTGTCCTTAAACATGCACATCCCTTTCCGGTATAGACAACAATGGTTCTCAAATCTACGTTGGGGCGTGCTTCAAAGTGGCAAATCTTTTGGTCAGTATCTAAGCAGGTATCCTGGGTTAGTAAGGTATTACTTCCACATATAAATCCCTGTTGTTCTTTCATGATAAAGGGTTCGAGATCTACTGCTTGCCATTTATTACCAGTATTCATAGCCCAGGTCTTATGTTCAAAGGAGTACAGCAGAGTCCCATTATAATTGACTCCAAGACTTACAATGGGGTGTATGGTGATTAATTTTGCATCATATATTGTTAACACAAAAGTTGTTACTTTATGCGTGTCAGGCCTATAGGTGAAGTTGACCATATTCCACCATGATTGTAACTTTTTCTGTCTCTGTGGCATTATCCCAAATTATTTTCCAAATTTCAGTGGGAAGTGTACCCTCCTCTCCTTCCCTTATTACAGATTCTGCTACAGTTTGCATCCATAACTTAGCTTGTATGTAACTTAGAGCTACGGCGATATCACCTTGTAACGCTCCCAAGGTTTCAGCAATAAGTGTGTGGTCCTTTGTTTCTTTTTGCTCCCAATCTGGCATTACTTTTGACATTGCCCATTGATGTACCCCTAATGCTGATAGTGAAGACCTCAATGGCTGTTGTAATTTTGATATATCCCTTGTAGTAGCTGCTAATTTGTTCATTATTACTTCTGAATCTATTGAATTTAACACTCCCAATTCGGTTCCTAATACTCCAGTTAGGTCCCTCTGTGGCCTTTTCCGGTAGGCATTTCCCTTTTTT